CTGTTATGAATTAACACTTCTGGGTGCAAACCAGAGAGGCAGGTGTAAAGCCTGTGTATTTGCAGGCTACATGCAGCGGTGTAGCAGTTGCCTTTTTGATGTTCACATAGCAGGACCTAGCCAGGTACAGCCACAATGTTCATGCAATATCCAACATCATGCAATACAGACACAAAGCAACGCTGTTTCCTATTTGTTAGTCATTGTTAGTCAGTTAGAGTTCATCCTCTGTGCAGTTCTCTGATTTCCATGTAAAACCTATTACCAGCCATTCTGCATTAGCTCAGGCTGCTAAACTGTCTTTTCTCTGTACCAGTTCAAAACAAACTTTGTACATTTTGAAATTTGTGCCCAAATTTCACTGCCTGCCTAAGAAAGAAGCAGTGGTCAAGTGAGCTATAGAGTAAATGAAGAGAGGGAGCAGCATTAGTGAGAACAAAACTGGCCTCACTGGCAATTTGATCATTTCAACTTAGACATGTAGTTGGTTAGGAAGTAGCTGGCTATTTGACTAGGTCCCCCATGTAAAATTGCACCCAATTTACAATATCATGCATTACATTTGTTGTTTGCAATTTTATTTGATTGTTCAATTTCCAAGTGTGTAAATGTATCAAATAAAGTGTTGATGGCACAAGAAGTACTTTGCATATGTTCCAAAATGTCAAACTTTTAGCTTTAAGAATGAACATGCATCATTTCATCACTGTCAGATTTAAGTGACACTTATTTTCTTTTTTTCATTTTGCACAGTAACATATTACTCCACAACAACAGTGGCCACTGATAGTGTGAGGATTGTGAAAAGGGATCTATAGTTGTGTGTTAAGGGAAACACCAACAGAACCTTAGTAGACAGAGACTATGGCAGGATGTCAAGACAACAAGAAGTAGGAATGCTCAGCTGGGACAGCTTGTGGTCTCTCATCCAGGTTTCTGGTGCTGCTTGTTGACAGTGAAGAGGCAAAGCTCAGTGTTCTTTTCACTGTAACACAAATTACACAAGCAACAGGGACTGCAGGATTCAGTAATGAGACAAGGAGACTTTAGGTGGATATAATTTGAGTTGTATGAGTACTGTATGTGCTAAAAAGTCTAGTGTTGCCGTGCTGGCATCAGCAGGTGATATCTAATGCAGAGCTATAACTCCAGTCCTGCAGAATGAAAGCATCAAAAGCAGGACTACAGATAATAACATGTATCAAACCCAGCTTTAGACTGGCTACTTACATTTTTGCCTTTCTTTTTATTTATAATTTAATACAGAAATATTTACTATTAAATGCTGTCTATCCATATCTGTTTCTTTGTTTCCTCCTCTCTCTCTCTCTCTCTGCTCCCCCTTCCCACTCTGTGTCTGTGTGACTGCTGGCAACACTAGTATTGATGTAAGCGATGTTTTCTCTCATTAATTTATCAGCTCGGCAGAGGAGGGAGGCCTCAGCAGAGGGAGATAATGGCTTCCATTTAGCCAAGGTCAACAGTTAACACATTCCTCAGTCGTTCAAATATAACCACACATTAACTTGTGTCCACCAATACCACAAAGGCGTGCAGGGACACACACCCACACAGCCAATAGATTGTAGTAACACTGTCCTGCCTAAGAGGTCTTCACCGTATTAAAGAGGTAATACTCTGATCCCAGATCAGAAAGAGAGTTGAATTTCAGAATGGTTAACTTCTGATAACAGCTATAGAGCGATAAAATGCTTTATCAGTACCCAAATGACCCCTGACATCTGCATTAGGTTGGGAGCTGAAAAGCTGTTTTACCTGTTTAATTTTTAAAATATTAGATTAGATTAGATTCAACTTTATTGTCATTACCCATGTATAAGTACAAGGCAACAAAATGCAGTTTAGCATCTAACCAGAAGTGAAATAACAGCAGTGAAGAGTGTGCAGTATCTACAGTATGAACAGTCAGAACTAATTTACTGATAGATATGTACAATTGATATGTAGGGTAATGTACGATATACAACAGACTATGGATTCAAATTACAGTGATGGACAGGTACATTAAGCTTATGGACCACTAGTGCAATGGGATGAGATGGAATGAAACAGTGCAGAATAAGAAGATTATAAGTTACATGAGTGAACATTTCAATGGATGTAAATAGTGCAAAGATAAAGATAAATATAGAGTATCTGTATATGAACAGTGTGCAAATGAATACAGAGCAGTATCCTGTGAGCAGAGTATGTGCAAATTAAATAAATTATATATATACTGACTCAGATTTTCTTGGTTGTAATTAGGTTTTACAATAATATGGTCAGCATACTTGTGGTCAAACTAGGGTTAAAGTTGCATTTCATGTAATAAAGAAAGCACCGTGGTTGACTCAACAGTAAGTTGTAGATACACCTCCCACATTCCTCTGTACCACTGAGCTCCACTGTCATCCAGAAAGAACATGACATGTTGGTTCACTTCCAGGAACACACACTGTAGTTTATTTTCACTCAATCCCACATACAGAGCCAAAGGCCAGGTATAATATCTGGAAACATAAAAATCATCAGTAGCCCTGTGTCCTAAAAACTAGACTTACTGCTATTTTGGAGAAGTGTCATTCACAGAATATTGACACCGAGTTCTTCTCCTTTGTCCATCTGGTTAGGTTTACTAAATTTAGGGACTAATCAATTTGTTAAATATAGACAAAGTAAAACACTATGTTTTGGCCTTCAAGTCAGCAACACCTGTATCAGTATTAACCCAAGATCACCACCTTCCCCTTAAGCAAGAGCTTTGATTTGTCTGAACAGAATAAAAATAGCTGCTACTAGAAAATAAATAAAATACATTGACAGCCACTGATTCATTCAGTATGAACATTTTGCAATTTTCTGGATACAGTCATGGAAAAGATTTACTTATTATGATTGATATTTACTATTACAAATTAGTATTATATATAGATCATAATTCCTAGGACAATATGAGATACTCAAAATCATTAGAATTAAATGTAAATTTTGACCAGCACACAAATGTTTATTCTGATTGGCCATGTTTCTTCAGACATTCCATAGTGTTGTCTTAGCCAGAAGTAAAAAAGAAATAGTGCTCTTGAATTTATGTACAATATACTGCACTTATTGCATAAAACTAGCTTTTAGAATACTGCTCATGAAAGCATGTCCATTTAAAGAGGTCATGGAAAAAAAAGAATCATATTTGTCACGTTTCCCAAATGCTTGGCACTGAAATGACAATTTATCTGGGGGCACAATGTATAACCATTATTAAATGTTTTTATCAATACATATGGTACATTATTTTTTAAAAACCTACCACTGTGCCAATCAAAGCAGCCAAGTTGCTGTCAGACTGTAGGTCCAGTGGTGTGAGTGTGTGGGTGTGTGTGTGTGTGTGTGTACTGAATAGATCAGATGGGCACTTTGAAATCATTTAACTATCTGCTGAACATTTTACCCACCAACCGTGTGTGCTATTCCCCCAAATGTTGACTTTACCCTGCACAATTTGTGAACCATTACACAATACAAAGGCTGAAATCAATGTGCATACCGCTGGTTTTGGAATAGTCTTGTGTGTGTGAGATCATTGAACTGAGAAAATGAAGCCTAAGTCAAACAAAGTTATAGGCACAATGAGCATTAATCCTTCAAAATAACACACATGGTTAAAAAAACAATGATATAATTTCCAAATCAATCCCATGATCTCAGTCTGTCAGATCTCAACAACTATCTATTATTGAACAACGATATTGTGCACATATTCTGTGAGTATCAGTCTCCTGCTATCTGGCTGCTGTCCCAGCTGTTTTGAGGGTTCACTCAATCATTAACCTAATCTACTTACTGAAAAACTCCCCCTCACAGTGTTTGCCTGAGAGCTCCATGATAAGCTATTTGAAGTTGAATGTGGTGATGGGACGATTATTGACACGGACTGAAAGGTTTGCTAATCTGAGCTGTTGCCTCCCAGGTTTCCTGTTCAAGCATCACCACTCACAGGTTACAGGTTGTTAGGGAAAAGACTAGGATCTACTAACACACATCCAGAGGGTACGCCTGAAATAAATGAAAGACACCATCTCTCCGGTGTCTTTGGTTGGTTCCATGGTGCTAGTGATTACTTTCAGTTTGCAAATTTCTTCTAAAAAATATGGTAAACTTATCAACATTGAAGAATTTGAAATAGATGAAATTAACTGTATATGAAGTAAATATAATTAGCTTTGCCTTGACCAGCTATATATAAAAAATAATAGTGCTTGCAGAAATATCATTCCATATTATCCATATTTGAGTATTATTCCATGGATTGATGACTGGATGGACCTACTGGGCCTACACGTCAAAATTGACTTTTTAAGTCAAATTCAACCAAGAAATCAAACGAAAATGATTCTTAATAATTCAGTCACAAGAAGTAACACTCCAGAAATTATAAAATCCAACCTCTGGGGAAATATAAACCCGATTTTATGCAAAACATTGTGTGTATGTGTGCAACAAGAAGAAAAGGAAATTAAAGATTCCTTAGCTAGACATTCCTGATGTTCGTTAGGATTTTGTATTTCTGTGCACAAGACGTGTTTCAGTCTTATAAAGGGTGGGCTGCCATAAAACATGGCATCTTTATTAGGCCTGAATATACAGGCCTGCAGCATTCCCCTTCAATATCAACAATGCTCAGGGAATGAACAGTTAAAAAAATATCTCGTCTTAAACACAGGAGCTGAAACTATCGATTGAATTATATAACCACCAGTGTCACGTTGTTACCCACTTTTATTGTGACTATGTTTGTACAGTATGTAGCAGGTTTCACCGCCAGGGAAATTCTCTTATTAACCTACATTTATTTCGATTTGTTGATTTGTTTTCACGGTGCCATCTTAATTCGGTGTCGAGTCATAGAAGGTCGATATCTTTTGATCAAATATCGAAGTCCTTTTTTCCTGTACAGTTTTAAGAAACTGCCAACTAAATAATAATAACTCACAAATTCCACATGAGCTACATCCAACTGTGACAAATTTATTCTTATCACAAAAATAGTTTATTAGATATCACCCAACAAAACATAATTTGCGCTACAATGATTGGGCTCTTTAATGAAATATCACATTTTAAGGCAAAGGCCAATAGATTCCAGAGCGTTTACTATCCACAACGACACACAAACGAATATATAGGCCTGCTATTCATTTACAGTGATCGACATAACGGGTGCAATCAACACAAATACAGCAGAATACTAGGCTTTACATACAAGAAGAAACATTTCAAATACATATAACAGTCCTGTGTATAAGACACTGCAGGGCGGTGATATTTTATTTGACCTCAACATTACACCGGAACTAGCCTACTCTATCAAGCTCTGTCACTCGGGGATGACGCCCCAGTGAAGGTGAAGAAACCGGCTCAAGTGTCAGAGGAAACCAGTGGTCTTCAGCTTGCAGCTCCAAATGTCCGACCGGATCCAGAATCAGCGTGGAGCAACCTATGGTTCAGAACTAGGGGTTCATCGTGAACCCGTCGTCATCGTCCTCTATATCCAGCTCCTGGTCTGTGTCGTCTGACACGTCAGAGTCCAGCTCTGTGTGCAGCTGCTGCTCCCCGGCCGAGATCACCTGTCTCTGCTCCGGGCTGCGGATCCCAGCCGCCTCGGGGGACTCGTCTGCTTTATTACTCCTCCTGACCGAAGTGTCATCCCCCACCTCCCTCCTACCTCCTTGAGGATTCTCCTGATGCAGATGGAAACAGAGTTCTGTGAATGACAAGGCGTCTATCTTACCGACCAGTGAAGAGAAGCAAGTGGAGGAAGCCTCTCACCTGTTTTAGCCTTCGCCACTTTGCTCGTCGATTTTGGAACCAGGTTTTAACCTGAAAGCAAAAAAAAAAAAAAAAGAAAAAAAAAGAAAGAAATTGGCAATCTAAACGATTTTTAGGCTACTCCTGTACGTTTGGCGAATAGTAATGGAACAAAGTACTACACTGTTAGAATGACAACTGTGCAAAATTAGTTCTAAATAGATGCGCATGCTCCATGGGGGCTTACACAATAAAATACGGTGAACTCCAGCTGAAAACTTTAATCCAGCTAATTACAGGACATTAGAAAGTTGATTTCATATCTATGGGCTCGCTCCCACAATGAACGTGTATTAATCAACCCTGTCTCTTAGAAATTATTTATATGTTAATTGGGCTAAAATCTTCCTGTAGATGAATTTATGACACGTTGATTAAAGTTTGTCCAAGCAGCTGTGCAAAATGACAACATTGTTAAATTATATTTCAGCACATTTCACTCTGTCATGCCTGGGTTTCTCACAGTAGTCTGTTTAAATATTCATTTATTCAAAGCCCCAATTACTAATTGTCACCCACAATAAATCTTTTGACGAGTGCCACCCATAAGGTTATTATAACGGCGGGATGCACACAGCACAACGGAGCAGAGCTATAGGCTTATAAAGAGATGGCCGAGTGATTGATTTCTAGTCAAATGAACCTGTAACACAAAGATTTTAAACGCAACCTCACTAAAGAAGCTCAAAGGTAGAACGTATTCATTTTGCGCGCTGTGGTCGAGCCAAGCTGGACTCGGCCTGTCTCTCCCCACCTGTCTCTCGCTGAGCTGCAGCATCTTGGCCAGTCGCTTCCTCTCCGGAGGTGAGAGGTATTTCTGTGTCTCAAACTTCTTCTCTAACTCAATGGTCTGGTCGTTAGAGAACCGGACCTGACCGCCTTTTCTTTTGTGTAATGGCCTCTGGATGAAGGGGGTCCACAGCAGAGGTTTACCTGTGAGGCAGGGACAAACAGGCCGACAATCAGAGCCACGTAGCATTTATGAATGGGCTTTGAGACGAGGATGTTCATTTTCATGACAAGACTTTAATTATATGTTATCAAAATCCGATAAATAAACAAATACCATCCTCCGAGGAAAGCCGTGAGAGGCGGTTGAAAGTTAAAGACAACAGCCCTGTGAGATTTTATCAGCTTTTTAGTAGAGTGATACAGAATATAGGCCTAAATTAAAGATTTAAAAATGGACAAAATAGAATGACAGACAAATAAACAGGAGTCTGTGAGGGGACGCCCCTGACTAAACCATTTAGTGGCTTCAGTTTCTTTTCCCCATTCTTTGCACTTCATTTAAAATTAAATTTTATTGGATTATTACCTTTCTGGGGTCTCTACCATTAGCAGGTGTCACAGAGACGATGTTAGCTAGCCTATTCGGTTAAAGCAAACAATCAACAATTAGAGTAAATTAGGGAAATTAATTAAGTGTAATGTGCTTTCTTAGGATGCATTCATTTTAAAGGCAACACACTGATTGTTTTTGCGGGCCGTGTTTATTTGAGAGAAACGCCAGCACCGTCTAATCAGCGGTGCTTTTGTCCTGTCGGGTTTCCTCTCCAGTTAATAGCCGGGAACAAACAATGGCAGAGGCTGCGGCCACAGGACCGGCCTGCTGCACGCTGTCTTTTGAGGAAGGTCGTGACAGAGTGAAAACTATGGCCAAATATCCGCTTCATGTGCTTCCTGCTTTGTGGTGTGATTCTAGGCGAAGGCATCCACCAACAGACACTCATGTCCTCTGCTCTCACTGACACAGTATAAATCTGCTGCGGTCGAAATGTCTGTCAGAGACCTTCTTATTGCTGCGCTTTTCCAAAGGAAGTTAGCTAATCCAGCCCCATGAGAGACAGGCTATTTCTCAAACAAAAATAATTGCCTATCAGCACAGAACACATTCAGTAGCCTAAGCCTAAAATAAATCCCAGTTTAATAGTTTGTGTAGGGTTTCTTGGACCCCTCAGTGAAACTGTATTTAGACTATTTAAGAGGTTTCTGGATGTAAAGTCACACTGCTGTGTATACTTCTAGTAACAAACGTCCTCTGTGTGCTAACGCTAAGTAGGCTAGCTAGTGTGTCTGTAGCTGGGTATTACCATCATGTCATGACAGAAAATATACTACACTCTGATAAAGCTAAACCTGGTCAGTTACTAAGCTCCGTTATTAAACTGACAAACTATTTTCAAGACTACTGCTACAGTCTTTCCGTTTCCACAGTCCTCTGTAGGCTAACTTTGTAGCTTTGCTAGGCAGGAAGCCTTTTCAGCTGGTTTCTGGAACACATGTAGTTTAATGGAAGGAACGATGAGTCTCCTCTTGTTTGGTCTGTTCTCCAGCCACAGTAAAAAGCCCTTTACAGCTCTGTCCAACCCGCTTTTATCCTCTAATCATACATTGTTTCCCTTTAATATAAATGTTATTAGAAATGAATAAAACATATTAAAGAGATGTGGATGACTAGGCCCTACTCTAAATAAAAACACAAATAAATGCAGATGGGCCTTGGAAACACACATATATGCCTTAATTATAATTTGAATTATTTTGCCATATTTATAATCTGATCAATTCATATCGTTTCTACACCATTTGTATTAAAAGGCCTTACAATTGTGACAGCGAAAACGAAGGAGTAGGCCTATTTGCAAATGTCTATTTTGTGAGGGTGAAACTAACCATGTTTTTTTTCTTGAAAGTGTTTTCTATTTGAGCCTTTTTTTTTTTTTTTTAATCTTGTAAATGTCGTACGGTGGTCGTTTGGTTTTACTATTCACTTGGAGCTGCTCCTTTTCATTAACAGTGTAGCTTACTTTCAATACTTTCAATTCCTGTAAATGAGGCTTTATCTTTTCTTTTCGAGCACACCGGGCCTGCTGTGCTGCTCTGTTTGCTTTATTTTCTTCTCGCCGCCAACCATAATGAAAGTCAGCCACATCCTCGCTGGCCAGGCAGAGGAAGTGCAACAATATGTGAAAAACGGATCCCGGGCTATCAGCGGCCGAGTGTTTCCTGAATATGTCTGTATTGAGGATGTCGATAAAATAATCAGCAGCGTGCAGCGGGCTACCGAGGAAGCGGCTGGTCGGGGTGAACCAGGAAAACATTTAACAGCTTCTGAAACCAGATTTACTCCTATCAACAGGCTCACGGCTTCCGCTATGAACGGAAAAAGGCCCGGCTTGTTCAGCTCAACAGAATCAGACGGTGCCTGGGACACTATACTAAAGAGGACCATCACCCACAGCCTCTATAAGGCAGCCTCAGTGTAACAGGGATTCAAACAGTAACCCCTAAAACAATGAATAGTCTTAGACCTAAACCCTGACTGATGATTATTAGATGATGATGTTTATATTATTTGATCGCTTTAAATATGTGCACCACTAGCCTACATCAAGATGAATATATATTTGTGTAGACTATGTTTCGATGTATAAGCCTAATTTTATGCAATTCTCAAAAATGTAATGGGACACATTATATGTCATCTTTAATAACCCTAGGAGAATTGTTATAGGAAAAGGTTTACATGGTTAACAGCCATGCGTACAGATGGATCTGACTGAAATCATCTCATATCCCAAGCCTGTCATTCCCAGAGGAGCGAGAACCTAACATGCGTGTATTTAGAAGAACATTTCTTCCTGCTAGGGAGGGGGCACTTGGAGCTCTTAAGCACATGAAAACACCCCAATACAAACACCACCACAATCACAGTCCAGAGAAATAACAAGTGATTTACAATCCAGTTATGTTTTAGTCACCGGCTGACTTGCTCCTCTGATGTTTCAGAACAATGGGAGTCAGGAAAACGAGTCAAGGTTGCCACCCCCCGCCACCACAATTGAATGGATAATCCTGCTGTATATGTCCCCAAAATACGCCTGTCACAATAACAGTGTGACTCATATGTGCGTGGTCGGGAATCGTGCAGAAATGTTCTCTGGGACTGAGATGAGCTGACCCACACGTCCCAAGACTGTAACGTAGCCTACTCTAAAAGCTGCTTATGTAGGCCATGTAACTGTGCATGGAACTCGGGTCGACATGCATGCATGGCCAAGCATGATATATTTATGCAAAATGGTTTCGTTGGCACTGAAACGAAGCTTGTGAAGACAGAAAGGTTTTCATGGGCATTGTTAAAATGGTTCTTATTTCCACGTTATACAAGCAAGTTTGACTTTATTTTGCACTGAGATTTACTACATTTATTAACACGGAATAAAGCAGAAAATCATTGCGTGGCAAGGCAGATAAACATGTAACATGCAAAGTATGCACACTTGAAAAGTGACGATTCTTCGTGTAGCCTGATCAGCATAACAGACAGACTGTCATACCGCTAGTTGTCCAACTCACCGAGAGGGTCGTGCCTCAGCAGCGCCTGTGCGTACTCTCCCATGGAGCGGTGCTGCTGCTGGTGGAACGGGTAAATTGGGCTGGCGAAAGCCCCGGTGGAGGCGTACGTGGCCGTCAACGCCGCGGCGGCGTGGTGCGACAGTGCCGGGTGAATCGGAGTGGGTTCATAAATTGGCGTCCGATACGGCGAGATGAGACTCGTGAAGGAAGAGTTGGGCGATGGGAAAGTCGGTGTGGGGATAACCGGAGTGGAACAGGAGGAGGATGAAGAGGTGGAGGAGGGAGAGGTGGTGGTAGTGGCAGTCCTCCCCAGAATGTCTTCGATGTAGAAGGGAGTCGGGTGAGCCGGCTGGATGGGAGTCGGTGCGTAAAGTGGGACGCTCATGGTGCTGTTTGTCGCCGCTGTGCGCTGGAACGGAATTGGCGGAAAGCTGCGTTCCTCCTCTGTCTCCCTACAGCCTTCCTCTTTAGCAACAGTAGCCTCTCTTACAATAGGCTTTTTACATACTACCAAGTCTCCGGGAACGTTCAACGCGAGCTACGGGCTGCCCTCACACCAAAGAGAGAAGACCGTTAGAGTTTTTCATGACCACCAGGATGCGGTAGTGAAGTAGCTGGTACTTGATCCAACTGTTGGAGCTATCTGGTTGCAGGCGTAGAAGGGAGGAGATAAGAGCACGGCCAACTTCCTGCAGGTGGCCAGCGGCCATTTCTGATTGGCTTAGTCGCGGCTCCAATCGAGTCACACAGTGATCAGACAATAGGAGAGAAGATAGAACTGTATCACTAAGATAGAGCTGTTCACTGCAGCTATTGAGGGACACACAATTACGAGATAAGAAAATAAAAAATTTAAAAAGGAAAGCCCTTAAATTAGGTCTATCCCTGCAGCTCTCGTTGCTTTCATTGTTGTGTGGATTTAAAATAGACAGGTAGCCAACAATGGCTAAATGATACTGTATGACATACAGTGTGAGTTCACTGGTGATCTTAGCTTATGATGCTTTTTACATTGCTATTCGTGTGATTTAAATATCTCCATTCCACGTTTTACATACATGTGCATCAACATGAAATAAGGGTTCCATTACTTAAAGAAAGGTAAACCTGCAATACAAAATATTCCACTAGAAAATAAATTACTGCATTTAGAATTGTACTTAAGTGTTAAGTAATCAGCGAAATGTACTTAAAGTATAGTGACAAGCATGTTCAGTGTCATATGTTATTGAACTATTATCACTAATGCATTAAAGTACCAGCAGCATTTTACTGATGTAACTGGAAATGGATAACAGCTACAGCAATGCATCCATTTCTTATAATGATCGTGTTTCTTGTATAACATCTTACTCTCTTAAATAAACAGTCGCTGCACTGGAGGCAAAGCAGCATTAACATCACTTAAAGTAAAGGCTACTTTCCACCGTGCTGATAAAAAGCATAAAGAACATATATAACATGCTCCATATTGTACATATGGCTATAACCTGCAAATTCGTCAAAGATTTACCGTTCTGCTTTTTAATTTACCAGGCTGCTCTGTTAACACTGATGTATATATCCTGCATATGGCTTATGAGACACTGGGCCACTGCACACATTAAGTCGGTTGTTTTGCATCTTCTTGCCTGGTTGTTTGTTGAAATTGTATTGTTCATATGATATCAAGAAAAATGATGTCGATCCAAAGCTTTGTACTACAGCAGCTTCGTACTCACACTCTTCACAGAGCTTAAATATCCAATAGCACAGTAGCTAATACCAAACCTTATTTAAAAATCACTAGAGGAAACCTGTGATACAGGTTCTTTAAAAACACAGCTATTGTGCTGCTAAACAAATTGACATTGCATTAATAGGCTATTTTCAAATAACACAGCCTGTGTGCAGCTGAATCAGGAGAAAATGAACAAAAACAGAGAAGGATACACGATGAGACTCAACAGGCAAATAGTCAGTATAAAAAGATAAATAAAAAGAACCAACAGAACAGGATCTGGAGTTTTGTAATTAAAAGATGCTCTTAACAGTCACGTCCTGTGGCCCTTGCTCAGGGGCCTGTGCCCGGCAGCTCCTCTCAGGTGTTTATTCATGCTGACACACAGAACACATCTAACCAGGAGCAAGGAGGCTCCCTCCATAGACACCCAGCCCTGGTTTTACGCACGGTCCGCACCTGCGTTAAATGGCTCTTTGACTAATGAAACAGCGCGGCCTGTTATCTTGAACAATGCAATACAAGTTAACTGCAATCTATATCCCCAACGGTGCTACTGAGTGATTAACTCATGGTTTGAACGTTCGGAGTTTTCCTGTGAAATTCATTTGTCAGGACAGTTAAGGTGATAACGCTCACTTAGGATAACGACTATAAATGCAAATCACTTTAATGGCTCACCAAATGCCTGTTTGTCCCCGCATACGTTTCCGCAAAGTGTTAAACAATAACCTACAACTTCTCTGTTTCAATCTGCAGCGCGGACAGAAGAAGCTGCCTCTCTCATTCTACTGCATCCAACTGCAGGTGTTGTGGTCATCTTGTATTTCATAGTCAAATCTAGCTTGTAAACAGTTCATTAATGATATGATCACAGTGTAGGGAGGAAGCCTATTGGCTTTTAATCCACGCCACGGTTCGACTTTCTGACGCGTCTTCAGAGCGCTCACCACTGACTGCCAACTTTCTAACGGCCGCAATTTAGATAACGCACTCAGAGAGCAAACAGGGATAGGAGCAGCCTTGAAGACATGAAAGAAGCCACCAAATGGCTAATATTTGGACTGAGCCAATTATTGCAGCTCATTGATCGGGCCAGCTTCCCGTGGCGTCAGACTCCTGTCCAAAAAACGATTGATAAGTCCTCAGCGAAGGCGCTGCTGCTGCTGCTCCTTGGCGCTGGCGCCATGTCACCTGCAAAGACAGCTTCCCCGTGTCTGCTGCTAAGGACCACACATTATCCATATATTAATGGAAGTACTGAGACATACAACCCGACCATAATGCACGGAGACTCCATAAAAACAACTGTTCTCCTCAATTTGATTGCTCATATTAAGCCATAATTATGAGATCATAGACAGAAATCTGGATTTTAACGTTCCAAAAAATCATAGTGGTTAACCGCAGTAGATTTAAAAGTCAAACATAGCTTTGTACCCAGCCAAGAATGTTTGAATTCAGCACTTGAACAAGAAAGTTGTACGTGTTTCGCGCACTGATTGTTGGCCTCGCTGGGATGCGACTTGATTGGCAGCTCCCTCACTCTTCTCTTAGCTGTAGCCTACAGTCATCATATTTTAGTACATAATATGATGAAAACGTACTTCTTAACCGAGCTCCGTCCACTTTCCACCTATAGAGGTGTATTTATCCACACTTTGAGTCAAAATGAGTTCAGTCAGAAAGGACCCTTTTCAGTGTGACCTGTCAGGAAAGGCACAAGTGGAACCAATAATAATGACAACTCATCCAGTGTGCCAGCCAGAATGCACATTAGCATAATATAGCTCATGTAAACGGAATGCAGGCCTATTGTTAATGGTACTGACTAAACCTGGGCTTTTCCTGTTATGGCCTGTCCAACTACATACTGTGAACAACGTTTTCTTTTTAGATAAAAAGACAAAATGCTGATACAGGCCACTATGTTGACTGCTAGTGATACATTTGACTCACTATTCCTCAGTTTTGACAAAGTATAATGTATTTTTTACTCAGTCAGAAGTATGACACACTAACTCATAATTTTCAGATACAGTACGGTAAAATTGTTGTTGTTTTTTTTCAAATCTTTTAGCTGTACAGTAGCTTTCTCCCTTCCTGGAGGGATGGCCTTCGTATCAGCCAAACACTCACCATTATCACTTACTGTATAGACTAGCAGCCTTATTGCACCGCTTCATCTGACAGATATACTTTTATTCTATTCAGAGTCTTGAACCACAAAGTATGCACCAATACCTTCCTATTTCCTCTACTGTATGTGATTGCAAATATAAAGCAGTGCTTGTGGAAGTTAGCATGATTATCTCAAAGAGGATGTAACAAAGAAGGAAGTTGTACAACCACACAACTACAGTTTCTAAATTCCTTCTTTAGCATGCCAGGGATCCCTTCACCAAGCTGCAATCATTGGAACCATGATGCTGGCATAAAATCCAAATATATCACACAGAAGACATGCAATTAGTTTCACTTGAATATTTATTGAATATTTAGACATGCTGTGTATATAACAGTACTTTCAGATTTGGAGCAAATCAATCAAATTAAAATAAGTAGGTCTACACTGTGTATCATTTCAGCTGCATGCCATTTTTGGGAGGAGGAGCCCTGTCATTTCCACAAATAAATCTCCACATAACTTGATTAATGTATTTTGTAAGATCGCCTAAATCAGGGGTGGCCAATTCCAGTCCTCAAGGGCCGCTGTCCTGCTTGTTTTCCAACTATCCCTGCCTGACCTGCTGCTGATTACCTGGCTCAGGTGTGTTCAGCCAGTCAGAAGCTGGAAGATACCATCTTAGATGAAAGTGGAGTGAGGAAAGATAAAGTGAATTGGTATCTTGTATGAGTGTTCCACTTGTGGTGGGAGTATAGCTCCCACCACAAGTGGAACACCCCCTGTTATCTGGTTGCAGTATATAGCTCATAAATCCCACTCCTCCATGTTAGCAGATGGGACATGAGCCAAACTGAAACTCACAAATGCAATGAATTTCTCCTCAAAAGTCATTTCTGTTATTCTTGGTAGCTATTGTAACACTGGCATGTGTACAAGTGGTTGCTTTCTTGAAAAGTTTCTTTTTATTAAGTTTCTTTGATTATATAAAAGGGGCGTCTTTTGGATGACAGCGTTGATTGGTGGTCTGATACGTCATTCCACTTGTTTGCTAATTGTGCAGACTCTGGTTACAAAATGTGTCACAAAGCAAGATGCCCTCTCATGCCATCACAGTATGTTGACTTCTCTTTTGCATAGTGGCAACATGTCGTCCATTATTCCATACACTCTGTGGTCACATTTCATTTGCACACAATCCTGAAAATATCCAGGAGAAACAGTCACTCTGCAACCCATGTACTCTTCACTGAAGAGCCAAGCAGATGAGCCATGACTGACCATGAGATGAGAACCCCAGTTTCAGACTGGCTACTGTTCAGAGTGAGTTCCTCTGCTGGCTTGGCACAGCGCACACCCTGCTGATTCTCAGCAGGGCTGTAGAGTGTGCAGTATATGCTCCAGTGTCCACTGCTCTTCGTGTAAGACGTGCTCCTCCAGGGTGAACTGACCCTGCTTGGTCCGGATCAGCTCCTTCACATGAGCACATGATGACAGAGCTGTGGCATGTAGACACACAGGATAATTCTTACAAAGTGTTAACAGGTTGACTTCTGGTCTGCTGGTTCAGTGTATTTACTTTTCCATAAATATGATGAGGAGGAAACTGTGAAACAGAAGGAATTAACCTCACCTTTTCCCAGGTCATCCACCAAGCTTCGGACATAAAATCCACCACCGCACTCGATGTCTGTCAGGGAAATACGACTGCTGTGACTGTTTTTTTGAATGTGGATTTTGAAATCAGAGAATATGGAAACAGCAGGTAACGACATAAAAAATGTGATTTTACAGAAGTCAGTGTTCTAGAGGAAGAAAGAAGTATTTGATTACACAACATGTGCTAACCCAGAGTGAAGAGAGGAGGCTCGAACCCCTGCAGGGTCAGGCTGTACACAGTGACAGGTCTGGCAGGTTTGACCTCAACCTTGTGACCTTTCTTCAGCAGATCAGACAGACGCTGCCCGTCCTTCTTTAGTGCTGAGTAACTACAATGACAAGAAACAATAAATCACTGAAGATGCCTATTGTCTTTAATTTAAAGCTGCACTAAAAAACATATATATATAAACAGCATCCATGTATGTGTCCCATATCACACAGTGACACTGCTGACACTCCAGGCTGTTTGCCTCCATAACGTGCCATGAACACAGGCAGGAGGCTTCTTCTCATGGGGCATGCCTTGCTGGCGCCCCCTAGAGGCTGCATGGATCAAGGCAACACAATCCAGAACTGCAGCTTACTGATAATTTATCTATTCTAACAAGGGGTTTTAACTCCCTATCATGTCTATTAGGTTACCAAAACCCTGATGACTCAGCTTTATGGATTAGATTTGAGAGTACATTTTATTAACGTGAACTCTTTATTATATCCGTTAACAGTTCTAATGTTAAATCCATGACAATTAAGTCTCTTTTACATAAAGTATGACTATTAAGTGCATACATTTACATGTCATGAATGAAACAGTGCATATACAAGATGAAATAAAGCTCTACTCTCTGCTTCCAGGTCCGTTCACTCCTACTTTTGTCTGGGATAAGATCAGTACTGCAGCAAATACATTATTTTTATAATTGGCTAAACTATTGATTATCAATTAGCCTATAAAATTTAAGCACACTGTAAAAAAATGTCCATCATGTTCTCAGAATCTAAGGTGACATGTTCACGTCTTGTTTTGTCCCAAACCTAAAACTATTCGGTCCCAGCACAGACTACTAAGACAACAAGCTATTATTCACATTTAAGTAGCTGGAATCACTGAACTATTGCATTTTAAACAACATATGCCAATTATTCTGTTATTAAAATTATTACCAATGAATTTTCTGACTGATCAACTAACTGTTGCAGTCTAATGTCAGTCAACCACAACAAGCAGCATCACACAGAAGTGACATGAAAACATAAAAACATCTTATTAGTCTTATTGGTTAGCTCTGCTAAAGGCCATTGCTGGCAATCAGCGTCTGCTTGATTTTACTTATCTGTACCCCAGAACATGTTTGAAAAAGGTCTCACAGGCAAGAGTTTGAGAGACTTGTATAAACAGAGTTACTTCTGCATAAAAGTACTGGAACATACACCCTTTTTTTTTTTTAACTTTAGGTCACGTCTAAGATGATACTTCACAATTATAAAAAGTACTGGAACATACACCCATTTTTTTTTTAACTTTAGGTCACGTCTAAGATGATACTTCACAATTATAATGTTGTAGATAAGTCAGAAAACAAGGAAAAGCGCCATGGGCTCTTTAAGGTGCCTCTGGAACCCCCCGAACTTAAAAATACATGAATAATAAAAGGCTTTCAATGTTAGAATTTTGAGTATAAGTGAACAATTCTTACTTTTACCCGTCTGCTTTTTTTTCTTATCTTTTTTTACCCTTGAACAGTTTACTTTCACATACACAGGAGTTACTGTCACGGAAACATTTTCTCAGATTGAAGGCCTCACTCACAGTGGAGGAACTTGCATGATGTCACCAGTAAAGGACTGCAGCTTCTCTTCAATGTCCAACCTGGTTATGTGTTCTGTGGCACAAAAAAAAACAACATACTGTGAAACACAAGTCAATTATGGTATATGTGCCAGCAGAAACAGTGGCTTCAGTGAATACATCAGGCAGAAGGGATAAAGTGTTCATATGAAAAGATTGCACTATTACCAAAGTCTTTCTCCAGAATCACACTGCCAGTTGCATCAAGTGTGTCTGTTGCCTTTCCCAGTTCCCCCACAGCAACATATTTCTGAAAAATAAACAGTGACATTTGTGCTATGCATTCTATGAGTTCACTCTACCACCAGAATGTATTAAGAAGGAGAGTGGCGACCCCTCCAGTGACTCTATAAGGACCGTTTTTTGGTTGTTTGTTTTACAGTAAAGGTGGACCGTGGGAATGTTGAATAGTTCCAAACATTAGCAGCAGTGCCATAGTGTTACGCTGACTTGGCTGCTATTTTCCAAAGTAAGAAGTTAAAATCAACAAAAATAATTATACTTGTGACATTTTAAGTTAGCAACGTGTCAGTACACATTTTACAACCTTTTTGACTGTCTCACTCAGATATTGGGTCACTTAGATCATGAGACAAGACAATACATGACATTGAGTTCATGAGGATGAGACAATATTTTAACGATATTTACAATAAGTCTTCAAAGACAAAATATATGAAATAAAAGTCTTTTATTGTGACCGAAAGTCACAAAATGTGAAACATTGCAGGTGCATTTTAAAACATCTTAACTAATCATCTTGTAATGAAAGTCACAACAGTTCTACTTTCTGAGTGTGAATTATCATATGCAGTAAAAGACAGAACCATGGAGAATGTGAAGTTGTCATCACACCATGTTGAATTTTGGGTAAATGCGTCCTTTTGAGAGCATCACGCTCATTATCACTCATAGATACAGTATATACACTACATACATTGATAAGTAAAAAAAAAAAAAAAAACTATCCCATACAGCTACAGACATTAGTAAATGCGTCAGCTACAGTATGTCCAAACATCCACTTTAGTGTTCAATTTGAGCACAGACAGGACAGAAACGGATTCATCTGCAGTGTTTGTGTCATCTGCCGACAGCTACTAGCTAGCGTTAGCTTCTAAGCCGAGAGCTGAGATTAGGGGTGCAGAGTCATTTTTCAGTCTGTCGCTCTCGTCCACAGGATCTCTAGGTTCACTATGAGTGAAATACAGTCAGCCGAGGTTATCCATTCTATCCTCCTAAATGTGTGTTAGCTACTTTGACTCCTAAAAAAAACATTCAAACATTCTGAGCTTGCTATTTGCAAGAGGCATCTGTTGATGTGAACCATGGTTCCCAAAAAAGAGATCCCAGACAACAGGGTCAAGAACTGCTACAAAATAATATCATACATTTTAGATCAGTCCACAGTTAGATTGGCTGTCTATAAATGGGAGACCACTGTGCCTACTCTCCTTGAAGTGAGCACCCAGCTGACTCCAAAGGCAAATCAGATCAGTTTTTATGAACAATCAGTGCAGAAAACCTGGTTATTCCAAAAGATTCAAATACCTTTGTCATGCAATGTAACTCTGGACTGCTCCCTTTGTATCTCTATTATAAGTGTAAGGAAACTCACCTTTGAACCAGCTAACATCGTACTGAGCATTTTTGTGCCATTCCCAACGCCAACAACTGAAAAAACAGAGGCAATTTTAGAGTTCAGTGTCTACAGTCCTCACCTAGACATTGTTCATAACAAATAGTGATGAAAATGTCATGGGCAGATCATATAACAAAATGAAAGTTTTGCTATTTTTACAACCTTAGAGGTAGTTGTCCTAATAATGCAATGTTGGTCCTGAGAGGGGTGCTGTCCACTATGTCATCAAAACCAAATTTTCATTTCATAGCATCATTCCATTAGATCATCAGATACCATGTGAACACTTTACATACAGACATCTCTAAGTTATACTCATAAGACTAAAACACAATATAAATTTGGTTTGGGAGTACCGTCTGTAATGTAATCTACTGTCATTTGCTAGAGACAAGCAGAGTGAGTGCGCTCTGTGGGGCAACCGCACTACACAGGAGAGACCAAAGACAGCCAATCAGCCTATGCATTGTTTTATATGGGTCATCTAGAGCAGACCTGGGCATTTTACAGCTCGCGGGCCACATCCGGCCCTTTGGGCGTCCCTGTCTGGCCCGGGTGAGGTCCATCAAATCAGAACATGAATGAAAAAAGTTCACGGGTGAACTTAAGATCCCCGACCTACCGGGTGAGAGAGAAGTGATGTTGGCCAGCTAACCCTCAAAATGTCAACTCACGCCAAAAAAAGCAAAGTTGATACCGAATGCCGCGTTTTCAACAAGACATGGACTGGAAAGTATTTGTTTACAGAAGTTAAAGGTAAAGCGGTGTGCTTAGTTTGTGGTACACAGGTTGCTGTGTTCAAGGATTACAATTTGAATTGCCACTACGTGACCAAGCATGAGGAGAAATACAAGAACTTGTCGGATGAAGCGCGAGAGTCGGACGCTTTGCTAGTGAAACTGCATAACCAACAAAGACTTTTTACAAAACTTTCCACACCCAGAGATGCAGCTTTCATGACAAGTTATGTCATATCCCACAAAATCGCCAGAAAAAATAAGCCGTTTTCTGACAGAGAGTTTATTAAAGAGTGTTTGTTGGACTCCGCAGCACTAATATGCCTGGAGAAAAAGGGCACGTATGAGAACGTGGCCCTCTCCCAACGCACTGTAACGAGGAGGGTTGAGGACATCGCAGGAAATCTTTGGATCTACCTACATA